TCTAATATGATTTTGGTTTAGGGTTTAGGATTGAGAGATATGAATCCAAACAAAAAAAAGACAAAAACGAACAAAACCAGGTTGATTGATTTTAATGACTGTTTTGATATTCTGAGTGGGACATCATTTTCAAACCTCTTTTTCCCATTTGATAAGGTAGAATGCTACATAAAAGTAAAATTATTATTGTCATTTTTTTATTTTACGTATTTAATACATCATGTTACAAGAATGAATGAAATGAAATAAATATTTGGGGTCATCCTTCTTGGTTAAGTAAAAATCAATTAATGAAAAATAGTGAAAATAGCATGTTTTGCCAGTTTTTAGGCATTTTACCATTGTTTTATATGGCAAGAATATTTTTCAATATCAGGAAATTTTGCTTGGTGACATATCTGGGACGGAAAAAAAATGTCTTACAAGGTATTCTTTGATGATGGAAGTATTGACAAATTTTTTTAGTGGTTCGTGGGTTTTTAACAAGTGAGTGTGTTTTCATTGTGGTGTATGGAAATCACTGTTAAAATGCCATTTTATGCAAATTTTTTACCATGTTTCTCAAAAAAAAAAAAAACAGATTGTCAGTGAACCAAAAAAGTTTACATACTAGTGACAAATAATTGCAGACCAATTTTGACTTGAAATATTGTCACTGCTGTATGCGCTAAAATGCACATGTCAAAAACTTGCAAGAACATTCTACCTTAAATCCGGTATTTACAAATTTTTGTTTGTATTTTATCTTCTTTGAACTTAAAACATATCAAAGTCCACTACTATGTCTATATTATCTTGCTTACCGGTACTTATAAGTGGATTCACCAACATCTATGCACCCCTGCACAGTTAATGGTTTGGTCCACAGGGTACTTCATGCCATGAACTATTTACTCATTACATGGTTGTCACACTTCTAAGGTGCCTACATGCCATCAGGCTTAGTCTCCTTTAAACAAATACTGCCGGCAGCCGGCCCATATGTATGCTCTGTGCAGATGTGGTGAGTTGACATTTACTCTCTATTTCTCTTGAACCATTCAACTTACAGCAAAGTTGGATATAACCTACTAACCAGATGTCTTATAACTTGTTGCTTATGATACATTTAGTGTTCCTTCTGGTTCACTTAGCTACATGTAAGCAATGTCTATACAATCCAGTGAAAGCAATTCATATCATGTTTGCCGTACATGTTTCTGCCCGCTGTTTTCACTTTGACAACTTTCTGCTGAGTTGCTTACTTTGTTATCTGACTAATTAACCATACTTGACGCTAACAAGTTGGTGAACTTGCCCTGAGAATTCATGCCACTTGCTAGGTAAATAGAGCTCATACTAGTCTGAGAATAGAACATAGGGTCAGAGGGTGAGGAAGGATGGGTGCACCGTGACCTGGTCTGTGCATAACTCTGTGGTACTGTGTACAGTCATTCTAGTTTCTCTTGGCTTTATACTTTTTGATTCAGAGTGTTGTACATGTCAGTACATTCTAGAATGTGATAAGTACTTATAAACAAGTTGTTGAACTCGGATAATCATTCAAGCATGTCTCAGCTGCATACTGTAGGAGTTTGCCTGGAATTCTCAGGGATGAACCAATTATGTTCATGAGGTTATCACAACAGAGTTTCTGTTACTTTAAAATGGTATTTTTAGGTAATAGTTATTATAAGCATTTTTCAAAATGATGCTCATTCAGCCAGCCTATTATTATAATGCAACTATAGGTGCTTAAGCTGAATTAGGCTATGCTTAGTTATACATTAAACAGGTTGTAGTTGTAGTTATTTCAAGGCATTTTCTTTATTCGCACTGATATCAAATTATAAATCCAACCAATTTTTGACATTTGGTTTTCACAGAAATTAGTTAAGTAAACTAAATTTTGGTTTGGTTTTAAGATTTTTCCATACCTGCTATACAAATATAATCACAAAACATGGAATATTTTTTTCTTTTATTGCACATTTCTTGCTTGAATTTCAGTTTTGGAAAACAGTTCATCACCTTTCCAAAGTTGTTGAACTTGAGCATTAGTACTGAAGCATGACCAGAGGGATGCTTTGATTCACAGTTTGCATGTTTGGTATGCATGTATTTGTTGTGTTTGGGTATAATCATGGTATATGTGCATTTCTAGGGTTATGGAATGCATAACATAAATGACTGTGAATATATACACACAGTATGTCATAGTGACAGTAACATCAGTTACAGTGTAACTCTGACCTACTATAAAGATTGACAAATTATCTCCCCATGTGTTGCATTCAATTCCCATACATCCTAGGAGAAGTTTGTTAATATTGTAGTTTTTGAAATTAAAAAAAAAAACATTTTTTTGGACATCAGCAACTTGGAACTTCCCCCATTTGGTCAGTTAGTAAAAACTTGATATATGCTTTCAGCTGTCAACAGCATCGTTCAATTTCTACATGTATCTGACCCAGCAACAATAAATCTTGTCTCTGATAGGTGGACATGCCTTAATTTTCAACCCTTGTAAATAAATTTGTTATGAACATACATGGACACTAAAGAAGTTGGTTTTCAGGTTAGCATAGTCTACATGTAGGCTATATATGGACTTTTCTCTACAAAAATCCATAAAAAGGAAATGGGAAAACAGGTTTTTGTTTAATGCAGGGTTGGATTTAGCTCAACTGAAATTGAACACATATTGGGGTATGATGTATGCAGGGTAAATTTAGCTTTCTAGGTTAACTATACTCAGAAAGGTGTCTGCCAGTTTAATTATCCGGCTTTATAGGAGTGTATTACTTAGTTTTTGGTTCTGAAAAGATGAGCCATTCAGTATCATTATGTCATTGCAGTATTTGACTTAACTCTCATCGTTCAATCTGCCTCTTTCTTCATCTCATCTTCATTGTCCTGTCCCTGAGAAAGGAGGTTTAGTCAAGTACTTGCTAGGACATTCTGCACATTGTCCCATTTTCTTTATTGATCCTCCCTTGCAAGTATAACTGAACTTTATTGGTCTTCTCTTACAACTAAGTTGTATTCATCATCAATGTGGTAACCAATAACCCAGCTAAGTTAAAATTAATAGCTTTCTGTTGGAATGTGCATGAAACTAAAAACATGTTCCATGGAATGTGTAACATCGTTTATTTTTATTATGCAGGGGATTATGATTTCCCTCTTTATAAAGTTGGGAAAAGTGTTTGTTAGGATAACCTAATACTTTTCACTAAACACCTCTGTCATTTAGCCGAGAGCATGGTATACTGTATTTGCTCTATTATTAGTAGTATATGCACTTATCTGATCTGTCAAAAAAAAAAAATTGTTGAAGCTGAGTTTGGTGTACTTAAAATTTCACCAAAAGACACTTACACCTGTATTGGAGATGAATTTCTTATTGAAAATAAATGGTCTGTAAATGTTATTTAATTCTCTTATTAATTTCTCTTTCTCAACCTCAAAATGTATATTTCCCTTGCCATAATGTTTTAGTCTTGAATTCATTCAGCTGTCAACCGATTAAATATACCGGC